AAAACAAAACAAAACAAAACAAAACAAAACAAAACAAAACAAAACAAAACAAAACAAAAAAATCGGGATGAAAGATTTTATTTAAGACGATAAATTCATCAAACATCACTTTGTTTGTAAACGATGTTTCTGTTTTCTTGTCTGTCGTATCTTAACCATTAGCTAGGCGACTCTAATGGTGGAAAATTACTGCAATGGCCTTGAATTTGTATAAGCATATATGGTCTAATTACCTTCAAGATTGCTGCGATAGCCGCCAGAAAATGACATTTTTTCGAGTACTATCTTCTGCCTGAAAAGGAGAATCCACAACACACACAAAAATATATTCCATTATTCTGATATTGGGATGCACGGATGGCGTAAGAACGTGAGAGCGTTGCTTGTTGGTTATTTTGTCGTGTTTTTTTTTCAGTTTTTAACTTTTGTCGATATTGTCTTTGTTAACACATGAATTTGGCCTCACAAAAGTGGCCTTGGCACCATCACGTGACSGCGGTCATGATGGGAGGTACAAACTGAATACGGTCTAATCTGATTTACATGAGAAGGAATTCAATTTCCCAGGGGGGAGATACTTGATGGTGCAAAGCCTATATACTAACAAAACGTTTTGTATGGGAAAAAAACACAAATATTATTTTTCCATAAATGGTCACTTAGATTCATTTCTGCATGCTTCTCTATATCACGTCACGTGATAATTACGTCATGTCACGAGATACTTACGTCACGGTAGTCATGACCCCAGATGACTGATAACTCAAAGGTATCAGTAAGTGAGTTTCTTTGCATTCCACTGAGTAGATCTGTTTTTTCTCAATCTTGTAATGGCACAAGCTGGTGCAGTCAAGAGGTGTTCTCTTGCCCTAAAGTTGCCGATTAAGAAAGTTGGTGACAATAGATAATTAGCAATTATTCGCCGAAGGCGAAGTGAATATCGGGGAATATTCAACGAGACGCAAGTCTTCGAGTCTTCCATACGGAGCCTGAGGCGAATAATTGTTTTAGCATATACCAACTTGTGTACAAAGTAACTTRTTTTTATATACAATAATTCAATAAAAACAAACAAACAGAAACTTTTAGTTTGCGTGACAAATTCACGCAAAACGTTTAGCAAACCTTTTAGCAAAACTTTTAGGCCATACTTCGCTGCCTTTTTAGTATTGATAGGAATGGCATTTACTTTCATTTTTTCAATTTCCTCATCGGAAATTGTAGCAAAACGATTACCGGCCGACGCCATTTTCTTGCCGACTCAATATTCCGAGATTCAGAGGTGAATATCGTACGATATTCACCTCCAATTAACCAATGAGCGCGCGCGTTCTTAGGAAGTACACAAGTTGATATATGCTAATTATGATTAATTTATAACTATTTATACATGTATAATATAAATCTTTCCCTTCTCCTCCTTCTCCTTCTCCTTCTCCCTCTAGTCCAGCGACCTATTCTTTCTTCTTTTACTAGCTAATAATCCTCAAGATATAAATGTTCAGTATATATTTACCGAGCCGGTTGTATAAAAGACTGGATGCATAAGAGTGGTGTCCATGTTGGATCTATTGGTACATTCGGTTAGGTTCTTCACTTTGTAAACGTCTTCCTTGTCATCTTTGATCATCCTAAGGTATCGAGTCTTGCAGTCACCAGCGATATCTCTCTAATAATATCAAATAGTAGCATCATTGGATCAGTAATGATGTAATATCAGAAAACATGGATTCGAATATGAAACTATTTTGTTTTTCCTTCTGCAAATGCAACTTCTCGAAATAGTTTTGAATGAGAGGCTAACGTGGAAATGCAAAAAAAAAAAAAATTAATACCACCAATTTTATCGAGAAAAAGTGTGATTTTTTTGGTATTTTTATGTCAAGCTCGCATCCACGATACTTTTGAGAAAGTACCATTGAGGGATTATCATTGTATTAACCGCCCATCCATTGTTGGAGGTTTTTTTCTCTTTTGCAAATTCTAGGATGGATCGTTATTGTTGTCATTGGATGTTATTAAAAGGTGAAAGTCACCTTCTTCTTCCTCTTCTTCTTTTCTCTTCTTTTCTTTTTTTGCTTCTGCAAATCCTTAGAATGTTATACCACTTCTCAAGATGGCTCTTATTTGTTTAGGTCGTTCCATTTCCATTCCCTATGGGCACCCACCCTCCACCCTGCAACACCCCTGGACACGGCTCTGCAGCATTAACAAACCTCTTTAACTGTAGATTCACCCTCTTCCTTAAACTCCAGTTGAAGTGCACTCAACATTCCCCTCTTGATGTTTGTCACATATACTGGTTCTGCTTTGGATGTCTTGATGTCTAGGATCTGCCCGTTGACTGAGGTAAACGTAAGCGGGTTACCTTCAAGATCCCTCACAAATTCCTTTTTTCCTTTTGAGATCGTGAATTGGGCGTCGGGTGATGACCGTTCCGATAACTGCACATCATCAACCTGAGAAAAGAATTTACGAACAAATCTCAATCTTTTTTTCTTTTTAATTAATGACCGTTCTGATGACTTCACATCATAACCTAAAGACCATCTAGATCGATGGAAGATTGTTATACAGGGTTAGCTTCGATTTTGTATGAATTGCTTTAATATTCCTGCATTCTTTTGAAGGTCCGTGGAATTTCAAAGTGTTTTTATTGTAGAAGTTGCGCATTCTTTACCTTACCTTTGGTATTTGTGAATATTTGGAGACTGAAATAAGGCTAACCCTGTATACTTCTACACATGTACCCACCCACCCGGTTAGGCTTCACGAACTTGCAACGTCCCCTGTGATTGGTTAGGTTTAGGGGCGGGGTTGGGGAAAGGTCATTGTTTTCTATTGTTCTACACATGTGCGTCCTCCAATAGGATCACATCTTGCACAGCTGTATATGACTAATTCAAAATAAGGTCTATTCCCTCTCTCCTGACATCTTTCGCTTATCGAACACTTATTCGTTTCTTGTTAAAATCCCAAGTGCTTCTACTATAAGGTCCGGCGCAGACGGCTGGACGTTCCTAAAGAGACTACTACTACTACACACCTCCAGATGGAAGACGCACGAAGATACACTGTTCACATGGAAGCGCGCAGTGATTTTTATCTCAGCTTTTTCGTCCGTCGTTCCTTGGATACCAGTAGTGGACATTCCAACATATCGGTAGACGTACTTCCTGTTTGGAATAAACCGGTTCTCAGAATCTGGATCAGAAAAAAAAAACAAGAATTATTTTACCAAATGTTATTGAACTTAACACATAGACTATATTCATTTTTAATTTCTTAAAAATTTGAATTAGTATGGGAAATCGCACGATTTCGAGTACAATTTGGAATTCATAGGAACGAGTGATGTTTTGAAAGTTTTCAAAATTGGACGAGTTTATCCATAAATTCCGAATCGTACAAGAAGATCTTGCGATTTTTTGTTTATGATACACTCAACAAAACTGAGCAACTTAATTTAGACTTTACAGTGTACAAATTGGGATTTAATTGCACTCCTCTCGTCGAATTAGAATCCAGTAATTTTGTTGAGTGTATTAGATATAATTCATTTTCGAAATCAAAAAGATTCAAAACTTTCTAAAATGCTATAGAGCTGTATATTTTGTTAGAATTCGTACAGTCCCTCTCTTCCCTGCTCAGTGGGGTTGTTTTAGACGTTCGAGGAGGGGGGACAAGTTTTAAGTCACTTGGGAGAAGCGAAGCTATTTTTCAAGCGAATTACGTGTAATATGTGTTAGGGCTTGTTAATCCTAATTCATCGACAACGTTTAAACCAATTTAAACAAAGGCAGCTAGAGACAATTCTCCGGCATTCTGCGCATGTCATATCATGTCTATGCAGGCTACAAGCGCCACAGCGCGAGCGGAAGAAATGGTTTGACCCCTCCACCCCCACCACTCCACACATACACAGTGGCAGATTCCTTGTGAAAACAATAGTGATACAGAAGGAAAGGAAGTGTAAATAAGGCACAATGCCAGAAGTCCTGCGTAATGAGCTTGATCAGACTTGTTGGATATCTACATTTATATTTATTTGATCTCCGATGACCTTTTGCTGGCTGTTACCCCCCTTCACGCACACACAAATGGCTTATCCCTTATGAAAACGATTATTGCCATAAGAGTGTTCCTGCTTGATGAGCTTGATCAGACTTGTTGGATATCTAAATTTATTATTTGATCTCCGATGACCTTTTTGCTGGCTGCCAAAATATCGAGGCATGCGGAAATGAAACTCATGGGGCATCGAATTTACGCGTAAAGAAATTCCGAACAATCACTTCTCTGGCATGTCCAAAGGTTACGGAATGTTTATCGTCGAGAAACGAGAATCTAAATGTAGAAAAAGATCGAGAAAGACAAGAAAATACCAAAATAGCAGAGAGAAGAAGAAGGAGAAAACGATGATAATGGGAGATGATAATGATGATGAAGATGTTGTCGATGGTTAAGATGATGATGATAATGATATTAATGATGATAATAAAGATGATTGTAATGATGATGACTCGAAATTAAGACATGAACTAGAAGAGAAATGGACAAGAAAAATGTAGTTAAAAGAAAGAAAAGTAGAACCTTTTATTCTATATGTGTCGTGCAAAAAATCGTTAACGAAAAGGTCCCGATGTCAGATCAGATACCGAAATAGAATCCAAATCTGTTGTTGCACTCAAGCCCTTTATCAATCCCTCCAGGCCATACTTAAAGTATTCCATAACAAATGAAACAGGATATCTTCAGTGGTATATGCCCCAACAAACTAAACCAGAGGCTTAGAAGAATTCGATAATGTTTGTTCAGTGGTTCTCTCTTGTGCTTCGAGGGTTTTCCGGGTTCTCCGTTTTTCTCCTCCGATCCCTCAGCAAACATGAATCAACTTTAAAATTCTAAATCTAGTGGAAGAAGAGCCACTCTGTAGAACCACTATTAATCACATTTATTATAATATTGTTTATCATATTATTACTTTTTTTAAAATTATTTATACGATCTTTATTGCACTGAGCTATATATTTTTCCCAAAGATTCATATTACGGACTGAAAAAATTCGTACGGACGTGCGAATAACCTTGGCTTACGGTGTATATAACATTTTGAACTGAGATCTTTGAGATAAAAACCTTGACTGCTACTCGACTTTCTTATTATTCGAACATGACATTTTTCATGTGCGTGTCTCGAGATCTAATGAAATAAAAGTAGCCTAGGCTGCACTGCTAGGAAAACGTTTTTAGAACGCAGCTTTGGGCGATGGCGAGCCTGGCTTAAGGGAACACGTTTGTTCCACTAAACTCCCTTTGCATTGATTTCCCAAAGGAATTGTTCTGGAGTACATGCAAAATTGGACGTCTTTTTCTTATGCAAAAAAAACAAAAACAAAAACAAAAAAAAAAACAACAACAACAACAAACAAACAAACGTCCATTATCTAGTTCCGAAGAAATATTCGGCTCCTTGCGTGTACTACATGTACTTTAGCTATAATCTAAGGTTTCACTTTTCCATTTTCCTAGCCTTTTTGTCTTCGTCTTATCTGATCGCCTTTCCGCATTGTTTCACCCTTCGGCATTGTGCAAAACAACAAAACTATTAAGTGTCACATTTAGGCTTATATTACTTTTGATGAACTTCATATGTATCGGAGAGAGGGGGGATACTCCCACATATACGGTATACATTCTACGGGATTGGTACGGTTTTAGGGATTTTGTCATTGCGATATATATACAATTACACGAAAGTCTTAAACTGTGTTTTTTCTGTCTTGGATAGGAGCCTGTGATCTGCCATTTCAAATCTCACAACTCAAAGTTAAGTATCCTCTTATCAACGTTAACGCTATGTATATTTATATGACCAATTAATTATTTTTTTAATGTCTTAAGGTCAAGGTTTTGGCAAAATAACCCGGCCCCTTCCTTCTTGATATACAGATCAACAAATAGCTTTTAATCTGAAGTTCCTGTTATTATTATTTTTTTGATACACAACGAAGAGAGTTGAATCCTTCAAGAAGCTTGACCACAAGAAAGGTAGTTAACAACATGTATATGGACAAATGGGAGATTTACGACATGGTTAACATAATTAATGGTTGAGTTTTTACTTACTCTCACAGGTCGGTCTCATTAGCATTGGCCTCGGAGCTGTATTTTAAAAAAAACGAGGCAATTTATCAGTAATGATTTAACAGAAATCCATATTTTTTTTAAACTGAAAAGGATATTGCATATTCTGAGTTAAAATGAAAGAGCGGATAAATTTTTTTTCAAGTTTTGCTCGAGTTTCTGCAGAAGACCGAAAGTTTTTTTAAAAACAAGGTTTAGAACTGGTTTTCCCTGGCTCTGGTGTTGGAGCATCCAGTGGAATTTTCTGATCAGAACTTAAAATATAATTGCATGATTTGTACAGAAAAAAAAATGCTGATAAATTTTGAAAGGAGAAAGCTAAATTGAAAAAATGAAATGTCTTCAGTGGATAAAAAAACATGGAAGTTTGGAATGACGCAGTCCACAACATTACTGTCACAAACTTGTTCAAAAATATAAAGATTATTTACAAAAAAGTTTCACAAAACATTAATTTTCATTAATTTGAAAAAGAAACGGTAAAGCATAAGCAAAACAAGAAATCACGAGACCTACCTGCAAGAGTCCCGCAAGCTAAAGCCAGCAAAATCGCTAGTGCCTTCATCTTGTAAAAGTTGCAGGCAACTGGCTAAACATGTCAACGTTATCTCTTTTATACCCAGCTCTGCTAATGACAAGCTTTGTAGCAAAGCAATTGTCATCTTACAGGACCGATAACCCCTACCCCCCTGTCTTAATAACGTAGGTACCCTCCTCCCGCTGGAAGTGAAATTCTCGATTTTTGGACTCGAATATCTCCAAAACAAAAATTCAAATTGAATTTATGAATCTGATTTTCTATACGACGTATCTGCGTATAGAAATAGCCAACAGACATCCAGTAGTGAGCATTTTTAGGACCTCACGAGAGGGGGGAGGGTCACATTTACCATTTACATGTACCTTGTCCCCCCAGAACATGAGCGCCTTACCGGGATCAATGGCTTGATCACGAAATTCAAATTAATGACGTCATGAACTTTAACTCGTTAAATCCTGAGCATAAGTTATACATGTCTTAAAAGATGAATATTGAGGTCTGCTAGCTGGATGCAGAGGAATTCGAATGTCACCTGGGATAAGACACCATTTCCTTTCTTTTTTTTACGGCCCTAGTAAATTTCCCCCGATGTATAAATGGATGACAGGTCTTCTCACGAACATCGAGGGTCTGTTTCAGTATCCAGTTTCAAAAGTGGCCATTTTTCTATTTTGTTGATATTTTTGGACATAAAGTTCACGTGTACAGCGAGTGCATGTTTCCGATTTAGCATCAGGTTAAACAGATTAACCAGGTTTTCATCGTTTTCCTGTATTCACTTAACCTTTTGCAAACCTCTTCACCAAAAAAAAATATTCTTTTTGTTTATCTACTACTATACGTGATGGATATTTTTGCGTTTCCATTTAACTAATCTTAAAGAATTCCAATTGTTCAAAGGCAAAGAAAAATCTGCAGTATTAAACTCCCTTTTTCGTTTTCGTGCTCGTTTAGGCTCGTTTACAATGGCTGATTTTTTCCGCCATTTTTGTCGCAATTTTCGAAAATATGATAAATTTTGTCTCAGACCACGTATTATTAGGGACTTTAAGGAATAAGATATGCAAAATAAATGAATGAATAAATAAATACCCCCCCCCCCCAAATTATTAAGCAAAAATTAACGAATTTTAAATGTCTTATAGGATCCGTCGACATGTATTCAGATATTTCAAGAGAGAATATGTTCTCTTGGATATTTTTTTCCATTTCAAACAAATTCTCGTCCATGCGAATTCGAATCGTTTCCGTCCGCCACGCGTTGGCGTCTTAGTGGCAATCGAAGGCCAATCCTTTCATCCGTAAAAGAAATATCGTTAAAAAAAACACTGTAAACACAATGGTGTTATCCCATTGGTAATACTTTGCCGTGTCTTTAGCGAGATAAAAGCTTGTGGCAATCTTCTCGCATCAACAGTAAAGGCCAAGGTATCATAGGAGGGCAACTTCGTGACTAACTTTTCCGGCTAAATCTAATACAAAGGAAAAAAACCAGAGATGAAATGGCTAGATTTAATCGGAAGCACCAGGCCAAGTTCAGCCACGACTAAAGTTCAAGGACAAAAAAAATATCTAAAATATCTTCTCCGTTTATCAACGGGTTTATAATCTTACGCTTGAAGTAAATCATGGCAATGCAAATTTACAAATATTGTTATCATACGAAAATTTTGGGGAATTATACTTATTTTATTTATTTACATTCATATTTTAACAGGAAGCTTTTTCACTTATAAATGTGATTTTCGAGAAGGTCCTGATAAATAAGATATTTTTGACAATAATAAGTAAAAAGTCAACATCATTATTACTAGTAAATGTAAAAGATGAAAAGTTGGCAAATTATTTAGGTTTACAGGTTTAAAAGAAATTCAATTTAAAATGGCTAATCTTAGAACACTGTTTAAGTGTGTCACTCAGATTGTTCCATTCTTTCATGGCTTGATACTGCATTGTTTGTTTTGCCCAGTTAGTTTTGGGTCGTGGTAAGCGAAACTCGCTTCCATGCCTCGTGTTGTAGCCATGCTCATTGAGCTTATTCAGCTTTAGATTTGATGATAATAATCTGTTTTTACATTTGAATATATCGATGGTAGTATATTATTTCATTTAGAATCAAATGCATTTCCCTTCATTTTATTTCTTTCTTTATCAATACCATGCGAGAACATCAAATCAAAATGGCTATTAAAATGCGTCCCATTTGACAGAAAACACACTAAAATTTGAAATTTAATATTATAATCATAATCATTCGAAATTCTCTGGCAAATAACCAAAGCGATTTATCAACAGACGTTCAATTGAACCACTAGATATGTCTTTGATGCTCAAGATATAGCGTTCCTAGATCATATCAGAGAAAATACAAAAGATATATGGCGAAAAATTTTACCAAGAAAGAATAGATAAACTTCCAAGTGTGCAAAAACTCTTACATTCACGAGTTTCAATAGCTTTTTTACATCTATTGTTTTTAGAGGCTTGTGTAGAGGATTTAAAGAATGTCTATTGCCAATTAATATTTTAACACCTAAAGTAAACAAAGACTTTGTTCTACAAGAACTAAACACTAGCTTTGTTCCACAGGAACTCTCAAAGCTAAAAACAACGAAAGCCACCGGGCTTGACGAGATCCTTGCAAGACTTCTGGAAGATGCAGCTACCGTTATTGCCAAGCCGATCGCATCAATTGTTCTGCAAGAACTAAACACTAGCTTTGTTTCACAGGATCTCAAAGCTCAAAACAACGAAAGCCACCGGGCTTGACGAGATCCCTGCAAGACTTCTGGAAGATGCAGCTACTGTTATTGCCAAGCCAATTGCATCCATGATAAATCAGACGTTCCTAACATGGAAAATTCCATCTCAGTGGAAGGAGGCCAAAGTCACGCCAATTTACAAGTCTGGTGCAATATGGATGATGACAATAATTATCGTCCCATCTCAGTCCTACCTATTATCTCCAAGGTCATGGAACGCGCAGTACAAGTTCAACTGCTGCAATTTCTAAAGGATAATGATGTCCACTCAACATTCCAGTCAGGTTTCCGAAAAAAGCATTAGTCTACTTTCACATCCCCATAATACTTTGCGTCTTTGGGGGGTAACCAGAGGGTAAAAGCCCGCTTATTTTGCTGAAGGCTGATCAGAMAATGTTGAAAATACCTTGTTAGGTATCCAAAGATAAAATGAAGAAGTAAAAAACAGAAAAAGATAAAAGCTAAGCTTGAAGACGTTTAAGGTAAATTTTTAAAAACATTTCGTAAGTCAATACATTTTCTGTAAGACCAAAACTCTTGATGATCTGTGCACGCAAAAATAACTTGGAATAAACTGATAATCAGTATTGCACAGATAAAAGCAGGTATAGTATAAATTCAATTAAGAAACCTTTCAATTTGGGACAGTTTTTTGATTGGTTATCCCCAAAGACGCAAGCCATTATGGGGATGTGAAAGTAACTGCTGCTGTTTACTTCGTAGATCATATCTTGGAGAACACAGATCAACARAATCTTACTGGTGCTATCTTTATTGCTCTCAAAAAGACTTTTGATTTAGTAAACCATCAATGTCTTCTCCACGAGTTAGAACATTATGGAGTCAGAGGTCAGAGCATAAATTGGTTCAGATATTATTTAACTACACGCTCTCAAAGAGTATGGTATGAACAGGACTTATCAACTAGCCTACACCTTGAATACGGCGTCCCTCAAGGTTCTTTACTCGGGCCTCTGCTCTTTAGTTATTCACATAAACGAATTGCCATTGTGTTTAAAATTATCTTTGATCAGCATGTATGCCGGTGATACAGTCATATACTTCTCTGGAATCGATGTAAGTACTGTCAAGGTTGTTTTACAAGACGACCTAAATCGTCTTGAGCTGTGGATGGAGGGAAGTCAGCTGGTACTAATTCAGAGCAAGAAGAAAGGACTACTCTTTGGAACAAGACAAAAGTTAGAAAACACTGCAGATTTCATTCTCCAACTCAAAGGAAAGACCATTGAAAGAGTCACAAAATTCCATTATCTGGGCATTATATGTTAGATGAAAACTTCACGTCGAAAGAAAATTCTGACTTTGTCTACAATAATAAAGTGGTTAAAAGCTCGGGTCTTCTGTCATAGTCTTATTTATATTAATATTCATTATAACTAAATTCATTTTATTTTTTCGTTAGTTTCATATTTAAATTTTCCAATTTTCCTTATTGCGTATTTTCTTAAGACCAATTAGTAGTTTTAATTCTAGCTTGATTATGTTAGTAGGATTTTTAATTACTATTATCGTTTCTAAAATTGTAAATTAGTGTAGTAGACTAGTGTAGTAGAATAGTCATTTTTTAAATTGTAAATTAGTTTTGTAGGGCCCCTATGGACAACAGCTATGCTGAATATAGGCCACCCTGTTGAAATAAAGCTATCTATCTAAATACCTGAATACGATTGGGTTGGAACCCAGCGACAAATAAAATAAAAAAATGAAAAAAAAAAAAAAAAATCGATCCAACTTTGCCATACCCCCGAGACATCCGCAGAGCTGAGGCGGCGTATGGACTTCGGACCTGACGGCGATTAAATCCTTCTGCCCTTGGGTGTACGAATTACGCAAGAAAATGTTCTAGCCGAAGCATCAGGGGAGAGACCAGCCGGCCCCCAGACCATATCGGCTAATCCCTTGCATCTCTGCCACGCACGGAATCGGTTGAAAAAATACTGTTAAAAAGTCTAGTCTATTTGATGCATTGTTTTCAAGGCTATTGTTATGCTGATTCAACTGGAAACGTAGCCCAGTGGAAAACGCTTGGGCTTCAATGCTACTGAGTCAAGTCGGGTTGAGCGAAGTTAGCACCAGGATGGGTGACCTGAAACTATACCTACTTAACTTTTTTTTGCATGATTTTTTTTCAGTTAATAACAATTTATTACAGTAATCTTTGAATCTCCTAATCAACTCTTAAACCATGTCCGTCCATTAACTTTCACTTATTAACTTTTTGCTTTGTTTCGATTATGATATATGGTCCGATCCTTTCAACGCGGAAAGGGAAAAAACGCGTCTCTCCCTCATGGTCTCATTAAGATCATATCTGCAGTGAAAAACTTGAAAAGAACTTCTTGAATTAGATCACATCCAGTGAAAGGACCTCATGAATTAGATCACATCCAGTGAAAGGACCTCATGAATTAGATCACATC